AGCAGCAGCAGCAGCAGCAGCCATAATAATTATGCTGAGGGCTCTTGCAACCTCTTACGCTCAATCCAGGCTGAAACTTCTCGAAGCAGAAGTCTGCCAAAGCAATGCGATGCTAAATGATGAGAAAAAGGAACCCGAGTGCATCTTGAACCATGTATGCGTATATGCACAAATGATACAAACAAGCTACTCTAACATGTGCGTATGTAAGGCTATAGAGAGATATACACACACACATATGTATGTACATGTGGTCAGAGGCCGTACTGTAATGGGAACTCCAAAAAGGGACCAGAATTTTGCCTCAACCTCCCTACCCTGAACCCTCATACAACTGCAACTCGATTGTGAGCCACCTTCCATCCGCAAGCTGGCCGTCGTAGGAAGAGCCATCCTCATAGGTCTCCTGTTGGGCAGGACTGCCATGAGTTAATTAGGATTATAATCGGGAGTTAGGTAAGGGTTGTTATCATATAGAGTTTTTTTCGTGAACGCCCCTCTTTTTAACCCGGAATCCAGGCAAAGCCCTTTGGGCAGCCTCACGCCAACTGGTTACTTCAGCGAGCGAGCCATCACACGGGTGCTCTTGTATAGAGGTTAAGGGTTCAGGGTTTAGGGTCTAGGGTTGAGGGTTCAGATACGAGCTATCAACAGGATGCTAGGAGTTCAGGCTATAGCTCATGGGGCTTCCCAAACCCTGCAACTTTCTCTGATTCTTCGATGCAGGATATACAAATGATTCTAAGCGACATGTAACTTGTGTCATTTTGTGAACTGTGCTGCTCTTGTGTTTTGGATGTAACACCTGCAGTTTATGATGGGCCCAGTCTTTCAAAGAGCAAGGCCATCATGTTCTGTCTGTCCGGGAGCCCAAAGTAGTTGCCGGGATGTCGCAACAAGGTGGGGCTTGGGCCTCAAACAATTCACAGCCAAGATCTTTATTCAGGGATCTCCGACGTAAACCCGTCTCCAGCTTGGCCGCAACTTGAGTTCACCTGCCCCAGCTTAGCTGAAACTCTGAATGAACAGAACCTCAAAGAACTTTTCATACCAAGATTGGCCAGTGTGTTTTTTTTGGCGCCGAATCATGTCCAAGAAGAGATGGCTCTGCTGCGGCAGGACCTCTCCTACGTTTACATCCGTAGCGGGTCCAAACCTTGAAGCCCCATCCCCGATCATGAATGTAGGGCTTGGGGCTTGGAAGCTCTGAAAGCATGTGCTTGTTGAGAAATCTAGTCTCACCTTGGAACATGGCCATTTCGCAAGAGACGATTTGGGAATCCTCAAAGGCCTTGTCCCTTTCTGCTGGGCATCCCCAGCAAGACCACCCTCAACCCTACAAAACTTAAACCCTATAACGATACCCGAAACACCCCCAAAACCTAAACTAAACCCCTCAACCCCCGCCAAAAGCCTAAACCCCTAACGCCCCCAAAACCCTAAACCCTTGGAATCATATATTAATAACAGGCATGGTGATACTATTAGTAATAATACTAATCAGAGTAATCATGATCATACCAATAATCATAGCAATAACAAAAATAATACTAATCATAGTACTTATTATCCGCAAGAGGACTACATAATCCCGCATATACCCCAACAATAGTCCCTATGTTCACTCCCCAGCTCCCCCTTGAGCACCAGTAAGTATAGTCCCCCTAAGTAAATGGAAGATGGGGTATTTGGGGATCTTATTGTAATATACCCAAGGCTATATTCTATCTACTCAAGGGGGATCATAATTACCCTAAACCCTAAACCCCTAAGCCCTAAACCCTGTAGTCTATCTGTAACCCTTAAGCACCACAGGACACCTGGCCCTGGACGCCCTCGGTGATCTGCTCAGAGGCTTTCACATCATCCTGAAGGCTCTCCACCGCTGCACCAATGAGGGCTTAGGGTTTAGGGCTTGGGATGCAGGGTTTAGGGTTTAGGATGTAGGGTTTAGGGGTTAGTTAGGGTTTAGGATTTAGGATGTAGGGTCTAGGGAGGAGTCACTTTTTGTGGTGCCGGTAATGGGGATGATCATGTTTTGGGCGATTGAGGCGGCCCTGAATTTTCAAAAAACAGTAATCTTGGAGCTGTTCGGGTCAAGAACACCTTCAATCCTTCACTAATTGGATGGGGAACTGCTCAGCCCCCCGAACAAGTCTCCTTTGCACTGCAAACTGCAAACTGCGAAGCAAAGTAGGTCTAGCCCAGAAAAGCCATACACAACCCCAGTTTTTTCTTTGATTCTCCGTCATTGGGCCCTGTATACCCCTATAGAACCCCTACAAAACCCCCTTTAAATATTCCCAAACCATAGTCCCGCGTAAAATCAATATATTGGGGGGACTTAGCAGGCCTAAAGTCGTCCAAGGAAGATCCAAATGCCAGGGTGTCCCAAAATGAGGTATACCTTTAAAGGGGTCATAGTAGACATATAGGGGTTACACGAGGGTTGTATAGGGATCCAATCCAATCCAAAGAGCTTAAGGCATCTTGTAGTGCTAGCGCGGGGTAGCGGTCAGGCTAAACTTTTGAACTGCCAATTTCAAGCAGAGCATTCTGGATTCTTCGCAAAACAGAGGCGATGGAGTTACAACATTGCCAGTACTACTTCATGTAACCCCTAAATAACCTCAGTTTCCATTTCGTTTTCCATTTTCTTTTCCACGTGATTCTCAATTTTTTTTGGGGGGGGGAGGTAGGGGGGGGGTGGTGGTGGTAATGTCCCTATAGAACACCCGATACAATGATACAATCACAAGATATACACGAACATTAATGTGGTAGTTTCGATTTTCTTTTTACATGGTTCCCAACCTATATGTATATGTATATATAATATATGCACATACATTCGTGTACATAGTATTTGGCATGGTCCGCTCCCTGGCCTTGTTGTTGTTCTTCGCACCTGCCACCCAGAATTGCCAGCCACTCTAGGGAAAATGGAAAACAAAATGGAAACTACTATAGTATAATAGGGGATGAAATAGGGATAGTGGAAAACAAAGTGGAGACTATGATAATATACTAGGGGTATATAAGGATTATACAGTATGCTGTGACAACTGCTGCAGTGCTGGTGAGCGGTTTGCGCAGACCCCAGCCTGCTCTTGGAAATGGCTCCTGCAAGAAAGACTTGTGCAAGGTGGAAAGACATAGGATTGGTTCTGTAAATATTGGGACACCAGCACCACACACCCTCACTAAACACAGATGGTTCAATTTTTGCTGGCTCTGGACTTGTTACTCTCTGCAAGGGAAAGTTGAGCCATGCTAACAGTGTTCCAAAGACAGCTCTGCACACGATGCAGGTGTTCGTGGGTCTGCATATGCTGTGAACCCGGTTTATCTGAAAGCCACCGACAGCCCTGCTCGCACACGTTTTGGAGCGCCGGAGGCAGACGTCTCTTAGGCGGAGGGCTTTTCGCACCTGGCAGTGCAATCACACAGGTTGGTCGTCATTACGCTCATGATTGCCAATAGCAGAAGGGTCATGATCGTGATCAGCAGTATCACTGCTCCTTTGTTTCTAGCGCAGTCGCCCTGACATGCCGGCCTTGTGAGGTCCAGCGCTTTATCGACCTTGGCCGCCCCTCGAGCCACGAAGGCCTCCAAAGCGGCAAAGGCCTGGACGGCGCACGCGGAAATGTCCTGACCACGGATTTCGTGGGGCCAATCCAAGGGGGATGGTTGGTTGGGGTTATGGCTAGCAGACCTGCACGAGGTTAGTAAAGCCAACAGGCCAAGACGAAGCTAGTCAAAGCGAGCGCCTCTCTGACAAACCTAATTTGGACAAACTTAGGCGAAGGGCCGCAGGGTGTTCGCGAACGTGACCATCCCAAAGTCTGCCGGCATTAAGTTACTTCGACGAACCTTAGGCGAAGGCCTGAACTTAGACGAAGTGCGGATGCTTCCCTTAGAGACGTCGGTTTGTCGAAGCTTTGGGGGGTGAAAAGGCAATATTGACCTTTGTCGAGGGGCCGCAGCCCCTTGTTTCGAGGACCTTACTGCTATTTTGGGGGAAGTTTTGATGCTAGACCGTCCGGCTGTCCTATGACATCAGGATTCTACCGCGCCTGGGATGATACTTTGTGGCCTGGACGTGTGTGGTCGACGGTGGGATGATGCCTGTAGTGGTACTGGCAATGCGTCACCTCATCCTACATACGGAAAGAACGTCCCCTGGAAACTCTCATCTTGCCAGCCGGTCATAGCCTTCAATGCCTGTAACCTCCAATAGCTGGACAACCCATACCCTTACCCTAAGCCCTGAACCTTAAACTCCAAACCGTTACTCTGCACCCTGCCCTAAACCCTATACCCTCTCCTTACCTCTGAGTACAGTCTTCCTGGAGGCGCCCCATAGACCACGAAGGCCTGAAACTGGAAGAGAAAGCTGTTCTCGACGCTGGAAATTACCAACAATAGCAATACGAATCATACTAATAATGATATTAACTATTGTAGTAACAATTATCGAAACAACAACAATGCCCATGATAGCAATACTAACAAATGTAAGAACTGTTAATGATCAGACTCTTTCACACTCACTGAAAGGCATACGTTTAACTCCCTCAACATGAGATAACCCCAAAAGTTGTAAAGTGCTAAAACCGTCGCAAAGTCCTATTTGGTAAACCTTCCTCAGTTCCTCCCGTTAATGTCAGAAGCACTGGTGATGGCTTAGGCAGGACATGCATTTTCTGTTGGAGGGAAGGTCATTGACTGGTTCCTGTTAAGTAATATGAATATGGCAATAACTCATTTACGTTCCTTAACGGCAACGCAGTTGACGGATTAAGCCATGCGGGCCTTGAAAGGTACGGAGCCCGCCGACCCAGAATTCAGGCGGTCAAAAGCGTTTCGTGGCCCCCAACCAAAGCGTGTTGGTTCAGTTTGGGGTCATGGATAGAAAGCATAGATAATAAAGCATCGGATAACATAGCATGGTATAGTAGTATAGTACAACTCCAGCATGTCTCAGGAACCCTAAACCCCTAAACCGCTGCCTATGTAACCCATTTTTGTAGTGTCCATTTTCTTTTCCATTGATTGCAACTCACTCTGTTGCTTCCTGCTCGAAACGCTGCAACTCAACTGAGGCCCAGTGGCCGCCATAGCACCGGCGGCTGCGCCGGTGGGCGAGCCACTCACCTGGGCCCAAGAACAAGTTGCCATCAACACTACCATGGGCTTTTTCTGAAAATTTGTGAGGGTTCCATGAGGCCGTGAGGCAACAGTTCAATGTTGGCGTCCCTTCCTTCCCGCCCTCTTGCTGACCTCGCGGGAGCCCTCGCCAAAGATAACAAGCACAATTTGAGAAGTGAATCGAGTTTCTTGCGGGTGTTTTAACCCCGCCCCTTTCCTCAGCAATGGCAGACATTTTCATGTTGGGGGTCCACATGGACAAGCTTGTGTGCTTCAGGCCAGCTGGGGCTTCGCAACCTTACCATGAACAGCGCACCGGCGAACCTCCGTATTAGAAGCCCTCCTTCAGCACGGTTGATTACAACCATCATCGTCTTGCAAGTCATGTTGAATCCTGATTCGTGTGGGGGGGGGGGGGGGGGGGGNNGGGGGGCTGCAATGAAGTAAAGCTTTCAGAAACTTATTCTGGAAACCCTATTTGGGGGGGTGGAGGTGTGCCAATAAAGTATTTTAAAATTCATTGTTTTTCTGATCCTTCCAAAACGAATCGGAGCTGCAGGATCCGTCTCCCTTTATCAGCTTGAGTATGAGCCATAGGCTCTCCCAAACCCCCATCTGTTCAGGACTTGCTTTTATACACTCACACAGTTTTTTTTGTGGGGAGGGGGGGGGAGGGCACACTAATCAAGCTCCAACGTCAAGAGCAACAAACAAAGCAGAGCCTATGGATGTCTCGCAGCGTAACTCAAAATTGCCGAGCAGCACTGCTGAAGAGATAGAGCACACGAAACTGCGCAGTCTCGTCAACTGGCTCCACGAAAACTCGCACATCGAAGCGGTCCCCGCCTTACTGATTCATGCCGAGAAAATCCCCAAGCCCTTCAGCAAACAAAATACAACAACATAGCAGTTTCCATATTCTTTGCCATTATCCCTATACTACCCCTGTATAACCCTAGTAAGGTCTGTGATGGAAGTTCCACGAAAAGTTGATGATGACAACAACAGCTATCAGCCTTCAGGCCGGCAGTGGCATGACTTAGTCTGGGCTGCTGTTAAGGAACTTAAATGAAGCTACCATAATGGGTATATATAGTCTGATATAGTAGCAGTGATTTAAAGGGTTTCCCCTTTATAGTAGCTTAAATTTGGTTCCATAACAGCAACCCAGTAGTTTGCCTTGCCTCTACCACCTCTATACAGTCCCTGCGTGAGCTATAGTCCAAACTCGTAGTACCCTCCTTAATGACACCTACAATGCTCCACTATATAATCCCCTAGATAACCCCTTTAAGGACTTTAGACCATAGCTCATATAATATCATCTTGATATAACTTACACCAATCATCCCAAGACCCTGGCCTGTGGGCTTGGCAAGATTGGCGTAGATTGCCACAGCTGGCACGTCACAGAATGGTGCAGAGACCTTAGAATCTCATCCAACAGCTGACCGACTTCAGGGAACTTCATTCAATCCGTGCAAGACCTAGAATCGAGCGCCAGAGAAAAATCCCTAAACCGTAGCCTTGTCGCAGCCGCAGCTAGCTGCATTTGTGTCGGGGTCCTTTATGGGCGGTAAGCACGGGCTGTTGCGCATACATGTCAACAACCTGGCCACTGTGCATACGCAGAGGATGTACACATCTGAGCAATCGCTCGCACATCACTTTGATGCTTGATCACATCCCGACCTACCGTTGTCACTCCTGTTTTTGCCATTGTTCTCGCTTAGAAAACCTCACGGCTGTTATCCGCCGACGGCCACAAAATCGTCAAGCAACCACCCTTGAGACTACCATGACTAGCTTAACGAATCTTTATGTATGCTACTCATGCTGGAAGTTTTGCACACCGGCATTTGGCAAGTCTTCGCAAGGGGACAAGCGCTGTTTAGCGATCCCCTCAGGGTCACACCCTCACAAATCGCTGCCTCGAGCAGGAAGCGCGGGCCCGGGGTTCATGTTCTGAATGCCCTTGCCCGGGCGCTTTTCCAGCAGAACTTTGAGCGTTTGAGTGGGGTTAAAACTTGTACTTTACAGATTGTGCTGAGGGTGGCCTATCAGGACACCACAGCACCAGCGTCAATACCAAACGATCCTTCCCACGAAGATGTGGAACAAGCCGATTAGCATGAAGATAGAAATCTCTAGAAGGTGCTCCACATTGTCGTTGCCATCCATTGGCAGCAGCCGGTTGTCGATAAACATGGATATACTGTGAAAAACACCATGGGCAGCAAAGAAGGCCACAATCGAGTTGTTCATCTGGTTCATCACACCAAATTCGGAGTAGGCGCCCTATTTAACAGAGGAGCCTAGGCACAGTTGCCCGCCTTTGGATTTGCAGCAGTGAGGAAGAACGCGAAGGCAAAGGTGGCGAAGGTTCCCCGCCTCAGCTTTGGGCATGTCAGGATTAACCCAACTGAGCTTGCAAACTAAGAGTCTTGCCACAGTAGCTCAGCGTCTTCATTGTAGGGAAACCATCGCACCCAAAGCTGCACCCGCTCCCACGGGCCAAAGATTGGCATGATAAGCCCAAAGGGGAGGAGGGAGAAGATGAAGGTGTAGACCTTCACTCGGAGCTTGGTGGCTGGGTCGCAAAGGTGCCTGTAAGCTCCTTTGCAGAAGTCCTTGATCCAGCCAAGGTCCCTAAGAGGCCACGCCAAGCCCAAGACAGCTGCCAGCAGTGCCAACGCCAGACCCATTTGCAGCCAAAGACCTGCAAGGTATGCTATCTAATTACGGGCTAGCTCAGGCTTCATCAAACCCCGGCAGAGAGCGTGGACGGGCTGTTCGAGTCTGGAGCTTGGGGACATCTGCAGACCTGTGTAGGCAAGCAGGACGCTCTGAATCAGAAGCCATACACCCACCATGAAGATCAGCGGCTGCAAATTCAGCGAGGTGCGCTCACGCCACTGCATGAGGAAGGGGAAGCCGAAGCCGAAGAACACTGTGAGCCGCATCCGATGGTAGGGGCGATTCACCGGACCTTTGAATACTAAGCTCCTTGGCGACATGTTGCCAAATTCCCTCAAGAAAGGAAGAGGAAAGAGGTTTGCCCCCCACTCTGAGGACAACGATCTTACAACAGCTTGAATACCCGTATGAAAGACCTAGGCTCTCTGGGAGCGGATATGTGGCAATGAGATGGAAGAGGCACAGCACAATGCCGAGTGCTGCCAATCTCCACCCACTCTCTGGCAGCTTGTGGTCCGCTGCAACTGTCAGCCTTTGTGGCTCGCAGAACTTTGACTATATAGGGTTATATAGGGTTATATTGGGGACATAGTGGGATAATGGAAAAGAAAATGGAAACTGCTTATTGTAATTGCCCCCAAACATCCCAAAAACCCACAACTGCCCAATAGCTTCCAAGCCACCCAGGTCCTTCCTCCACATCTTTCTCCGGGGCATCCCGGCCAACCACGGTCGGTTCGGCCATGGGGGGTGAAGGCTGGCATATGCGTGCTTGGCTGGGAGCAACAGTGCCAGCGCATTCGGCCCGTACACATGCACAACTATAAGCATGTCCGCTCTGTATTGCTCCAAGGGGTGCCCAGCGGAGCAGACGAATCCGGCATCTTGAGGAGATGTTACAATTCGCTTCCCTCATTGGGTTTGTCTGGGAAAAAGCAGGTGAGGGCTCTTGAATTGGGCGTTGAAGCGATAAGATGAGGGGCGACTGTCAAGCTAGTATGAAATTGCAAAGTCAGGTAACCTCTACGGTTGCACACCATTTCACATCATGTGGCACAACTTGCCACGTGAACCAGGCTTTGTGCGACAAGCCACTGCAAAGTTCACTTTCTCGCAGACACTCACCATTTGCGGGTGGAAAATCACACGGTACATGTCCTCAGCTTTATGTATCAACATCACGTTCGGTCTGCAGGTCTCTTGGAGGCGGGCTCTAGCTTTGCGGTGGGCACGGGATTCAAGACGGCACTCGTTCTCCCAAGCGGGCTAGCTTGGCTAGCGTTTTATATATTCTGGGACCTCTATGCGGGAATCCGAGGGGCGTCAAAGAGGACCTGCCCAGTCTCACCGCGTGCTTCCATTCCTATCTTAAAAAAACTCGACATAGTCAGGCCCCCAGAATTTGAGACGTCACCGGCCCCGCTATGCAAGACGTCACAGGCCGGGAAACCATTTCACATAAGTTTAGCGCTATAGGGCTATCTTCATGCCTGGTGTCTAGCTACATTTTCGTTGTTGCACAAAAAGCCTTCCCCCCAAACCGGGAAACTGTCAAATCGAAAAAGATCGCCCTGAAACTCAAATAACTCCTTCTCCTCGGACTAAAGTTCTGCGCCAGGCAATTTTCATAATCTTGTCAGGTTCGGCAATACCAGACATCCCACCCATGCCAAGCAACACAGTCGCTGGGCATGATCGTGTAAGACGTTCGCAAAAGCTGCCTCCCGAGAGTTTGACTGAGTTCATGACTCTAAACCCTAAACCTTAAACCCTAAACCTCAAACCCTAAACCCTAAACCCTAGACACTGCTGTCAACAGGGTCAAGACCATCTTTGCAGAATCTCCACAGACAATGGCGAGTTGGGGCGGGCCTCGGCCGAAAGGGCGAGCCTCTCTGAGGATAAATGCCTGGGCCCAGGTAAGTGACGCCATGGTTGCCCAGCATCACCGGCTACTAGACTGTAGTTGCCCGTCTGTCGAAATTATTTCGTGGACTACGAGCACCTGAGAAATGGGATTGACGTCAAGGTCCAGTTGGGTTTGTCCGCAAGCTTCGAGACTCCGGCTGCAGGGATAGGCTTTTCTTCACCACCGCGGGAGCAAGGTGTACCCAGTCGATCCATTCCTTTCCTGCCCTCTTAGGTCTTAGGCCTCAAAACAAAGGTCCCTGGTGTTGTACCCACAAAACAACTACAGCATCCTCATGATCTTCTTTGACATCGAACCTTTTTACACATGGCATGTGGGCCTTTTGTATATTATGAAGCTCAAGATACTGCAACCCTCACCACGGTTGCCGAAGAAAAGTCCATGAATTTCCGAGAACTACCCCCAGTTGGACAACTTTCTAAGTGCAGCCAAGGGTGGCGCGGAAATTTGGGCACACCCTCAGCGCCCGTGGGCCTGCAGCCATTCGGATTGAAAGAGGTTCCGATCTCTCGCAGGCTGCCGTAGGATGTTTCAGTGCGACTTGCTTTCCCTGTAATGGTATATATATATATATAAGCTGATGGGTGCCGACAAGTCGTGTTTGGACACTTAAGCCTCCCTTCTGTGTCTGTACGAGGTAGGTGTCAAGGTTTGTTAGCATTTTTCCCATAATTTGAGGTCGGGGCCTCTTCCAGTGTCCATAGCAGCCATAGCAGCCGTAGCAGCCAGGACAAACCACGCTCCCCGCAATGCAGCGAACAAGCATTCTGAGACTCTGACCAGCCGTGCAGAATCCATATTCACCGCCCCTCGAAGTTTACTCGTCTCCCTTTCTCTTGAACAAATTCGCCTGCAAGAACCAAAATTGCTCGATCTGGGAGATCGATTGCTGCACAGACTTGATCGCACAAGTCCGAACAACGCTACGCAAAATTTTCGTGAACTGGCTGACAACGGAGGGCTGCCATAACACAGGGTGGGAGAAAAGGATGAAAGGATGACCTTCTGGGCACATGTCTAGGCCTCAGGAAAGCCCACATGTTGGTAATGTAACTGCGAACCCACCTTCCAAAACCTCCTGAACCTCATTCAGTACGGCCAGGGTCATCCGTGAATTGCGCGGATAAAGGGCAACACGTTTTTGCCGCACCCCCAACTAAAATCGCTGAACCCGGCTGACCCAGCCTACCCCAAGGCCCACAGCCTTCGAAGGTCAAACGCCCGGCGAAGGGGCTCGGCAACCTTGCAGGGCCAGCCACCCAACAATTGCGAATAATGGCAAATCAAATGGAAAATAAAGTGGCTAACGAAATGGAACTGGGGTTATGTGGGCTTATAAATAGATTTTTTACATTTAGATTTCAAACACCATGCTGCGGGGCTTTGAGCCGTTAGCACCATCAGATTGCGAAGGGAATTGGAAATAAACTTACATAGCGGAGTTGCAGATTCTGTGCCTTTTGATTCTGCTAGGGCACTGGTGCAACGGATTTGCCCCCTTGGTACCACTGTGCTGCGACTCAGACGATTTCGAACAATGCTTTTCACTGTGATGCTGTTGGTCGCTGTGAATGACAGATGGAAGATGATTCATTATGATGCTGATACAGAGGATGACGACAGCTCACTTCTGCCATTGCTTTCAAAGACAGCTTAACATTGATAACACTGGTCTTGGCACAGCCTGCTAGTACAGTACTAGATGTTGTCGCGCGTTGTGGCCACTGGTATCCGTGTCAGCCGCTGTGAAAACAGTCTAACTAGAGTGGCACTTGCAGCGGTCGGGAGTGTCAGGAATGATCTGCGGCCAGCGCGGGTGCATGCAGGTAATGTCAAAGTGAAAGTTTTCAGCGAGCCCAGATCAGAAGAAGACAAAATCAAAGGAGACCTTGCAATGTGCTGGTGCTGGTGCCCGTGGCGGCAGCGGTGCGGTGCAGTGGCGGTGGCGGGACGCGGCAGCAGGGGTGGCAGTCGTCATCACCGTTGTTGCTGCTGGTCATTCTGTGGGCAGTGTTGTAGCTGAGGTAGTTGAAGCAATGTATCTTGGCGTGGAGGCAGGGGCAACCAGCAAAGCGTGCGGCTTTTGAGGGCCCACGCTTCGCCTTTAAGCGCTCACCTTTGTCATACTTGTGCCTGAAATGCTCAACTCTGACCACTCTGCTTCTGGGATGGCCCCTGGCCCAGCACAACTGCTGCCGCACTTGCATCCTGATTTGGCCTTGACAAGTTGAAGCCTGTGCCTTGGGACGGCGTTATGTAGATGGTCAGCTTGCTCGCCCGGCCTTTTCGTAGATGCTGTTGTCCTCCAGCACGCCTGGGCAGTGATGCGAGAAGCAACTGAATAAAATACTACACAAATAACCCCTATATAATCCCAGTTTACATTTCATCTTCCATTTTCTTTTCCATTTGATTCTCCATTATAGGGCCCTAAACCCTAGATTATTGGGTACCATATGCAGCCAAAGGGAAGCACCTGCAGCCAGGGAGCTCATCGTGGATGTGTTGAGCATCAACATGCCAAAAATGCCCTTGCAGACAGGCGTGTTGCCACCGTCCGGGATCATAGTTTGATACCTCAGGTTGAAACAGTGAGCCTGTGAGTTTAGACTGGCATACGTCTGCCATGAGTCTGGATCTCGCCCTGTCATGCCGCCACGCTGCATGGGCATGAAAGGCGAGCATGGAAGCTCCAGGCGCAAAGAGACCCACAGCAGGGACATGATGTCACTCCTGGGATGACACTTCCGGCTCCAAGCCCCCGACCCCTGAGCTAGACAAGGCTCGCGTTAAGCGGCCTCATGGACACCATTTCATCTGAAGTTGAAGACCTTCATACTGGCTGTCGATCCTACTTGCTGGCCTAAGTTTAAGTTTCCAAGAACCTGCACGGCCAACAGGAACTCATACTCATACACAACACTAACCACAATCTCTAGAGCCCTGCACTATTGACTATTCCTAAACAGCCCTAAACCCTAAGCCCTAAACTGTAATTTGGTCCCCAAAGCATCTCCAAGGTTGATGGCGAGGTTCGGAGGTTGAGATGTCATCTCCAACGCAAACTCTCTCAAGAGGATGCCAACGCCAAACTTCTCCTCGCAGCATGGCGCGCCACTGACAACTCTAGATATATAATGGTTCCCCTTCATTCCCTTTGAAGGAGGTGTGGTGAAGACCTGGTGCAAGCAAAAAACTACATAGATGATCCTCGCTAGTTGGGAGGGTCAGGCGTGGGCTCATCCCGGACCCTCAGCAATATCAGAACTCTCATGGTCTTGGCAGTTGGGACTGTGTCCTGACATCTGTGCAGCAATGCACATTCAAAGCAATTTTCTAAGCAAACATGTGCCGGGGCATGCACATGGTGAGGAGATACCCCTACTCCTGGCAAGTACTCTGAGTTCTTTCCGCAAGCCTCCGATCCTGCAAATGCATGGATGATGCCCAAAGAAAATTACCAAACTTGCAATCAGGCAATGGCGTATCAACGAGCATCCGAAGCAAGAGGGCCAAGTCTGAAGACGCACACGGGTCGTGGTGACCCCTTCAAATCAGTATCGCCATTGGAGCACGATTGTAGGGTTGAATGAGAATGCGGATCTGACAGCGGGTGTTCAAATCTTGCATGTAGGGAAAGAAAGTAGCAAACCAACCACCCAAGATCCGCGAGCAAAGACTTTCGGCAAGTTTCTACACTCTCCACCAGGTAATTCCGGAATGACCCAAATGTCTGCCCACTCAGCCCACATTCCCTTCCTTCAAGGCGCCCAGCGTGAAGCCTGCCTGCAGGTTAATTGGGTTGTCTGTCGTCC